GTATACATTTCGCTGGTAGTCAGAACGAAGCTTGTTAAAAAGCCCGCATCCTAACATGACGGAATAAACTTCAGAAGAGACTACACGATAATCAGTATCACAACCTGAGTCAATACCGATTAGCAAAAGAGTATCAATCTTTCGCCTATGTCGAAATGTTGCGTGATCCGTGGCGTCTACTGTGGTATTAAGTAGTCTTAGTTTAGGTAGTAGTAGTAGTAGTAGTAATTAGTAGTTTAAGTAGTGGCTCTAACCCAAACGTTCGGTCTAACGGGGCCAGTTTTATTAGGGGTTCCGTGGGTAGACAATTAGGATAGGCAGTGAAGTAGAGTTCAAGAAGTAATTGTGTAGTGACAAACAACATTAATTTTGAGGTTTTAATCAGTGGGCCATGAACGACGCGGTGCGCATTTATGTTGGAACAATAGAATGCTGGCATATGCTTTAATACCTACTATATGCATTGTAGCTATTAATCCTACCTGGCTGTTAATGCAAGTACCTCTTATTTATTAAATGCTGTTTTTGCTTATTTCTTCGACTTACACGCTATAATTCGTTGCTATATAGCCGCCGCCGCGGTATACAACTTCAACTACCTATCCTAATTCCCACCCACAAAATTGCTATTACCACCGGTAGCGTTCGACAGAATGCTGGGGCATAAGGTATATAAGGTCCACTAGGTAAACTACCTTTGCCTTGTTTGCAATACTTATGATTTTTATGTAAAAAAGCCAGACAGTCCAAAGGCGTTCGCCAAATGTTCCTCAAATACACTGAACTGGACTGACCAACAGATTGCAGACTGTCGCGGCGAAAAAGACCGACCTTCGTCTGAGAGGGTACGTCCAGAAGTATTTATCGCATCGAGCGTTGTAGCTGTCTGGACAACTATTGCGCTGCGATCCAGACGCGAATTTCCCCGTCCCCGCTTATGCAATGAGGTCTGGTTACGAGTAATTACGCATTGCTGAGCAGTCACAGAATTGCCTTTGATAGGACAGAAGCCCCTGTTGATAGACTAGCCGAGCCTTCTTGTTGGAACGCTTCTCATTTCTAGTAACTGGCCTATCTCATTAAAGTTTAATTGCAACTCTCAAAGCTACTTGCGATCACAAAGGATTACTTAGGTTGGGCGATAATATTGATGATCGTGCAACATAGTCCCAGTATATTCAACTCAGAATAGGATGCCGGCTTTAGCATCTAACTTCTTCGGCTGTTTTTTATTAACAGTGATCAAGGAGAAAGGACTGTATAAGTAGCATACGTGTTTTCCTACTGATTTGCGACGTCGTTATAAATTCAGATATTGTAGATCAGAGGGGGTATGCATTCCGAGCGATATAATGAAGAAAAGAAGA